TTTTTTTTTTTTTTTTTTTTTTTTTTTTTTTTTTTTTTTTTAGTAAGGCAAACTAGCATAATCATCAACAGGTCTATGTTTTAACATTTGAGATTTTGGGAGGAACATTCCTGTGCAGCTCATAAGATATGACTGCAGCTCATTTAGCACTCATGACTAAACTCCAGTTGTATCTAACCAGAGCGGTTGTTATAATGAATGCATTGTACATTTAAAATATACTGAAACATCACTGATATTTGGTGGGCATAAATTAACTTATCTCCGTTGTATCTTATCATGAATTTTTTTTGAATTTTATTTTTTTCTTATCAGTCACATTTTATTAACTCTGTATCCCAGCCGTGTCCCAATCCCTCATTCCCTCCCAGTCCCTCCCTCCCTCCCTCATCTCCACCGTGCCCCTTGCCAAGTCCACTGATAGGGGGGACCTCCTCCCCATTTATCTGATCCTGTTTTATCAGGTATCTTCAGGACTGGCTGCAAAGCTTTCCTCTGTGGCCTAACAGGACTGCTCCTCCCTTGGGGGGTGGGGAGGCCAAAGAGCCAGTCATTGAGTTCCTGTTAGAAATAGTCCTTGTTCCCCTCACTATGGGAAACCAATTGGTTACTGAGCTACCACAGGCTACATCTGAGCAGAGGTTCTAGGTTACATTCATACATGGTCCTTGGTTGCATGTCAGTCTCAGAAAAAACCCTGTGCCCAGATAAATTTGGTCCTTGTGGAGCTCCTATCCTTTCCTCATCAGACTAACTCCCCTTCTTTCTTATGATTCCCTGTACTCTGCCAAAGGTTTGGTCATGAGACTTTGCTTTGAAAACACTGCTAGTTAGAGTTTTTCAAATGCCCACAGCCATAAATTAATGCAGCATCTCAACACCATTGTCTGAAAAAGTATATGCAACATTTTGCTTTCTAACTAATCTGTGTGTCTGCATTTCAGACATAAGGGGAAAGTAAGTATACAAACTAAATGGCAACAACTTAAGGGCATGAATTGCTAACTGGTAAAGTGTGAGGAATCCATGTGGATGTTTTTCTAGGTGTTGGTAAGCACTGACATTCCAGTTTTATTACTTATGTGCAATGATTTTCAGAATATCATATTCATCTGCTAAGCTTTATTCTCATTCTAACTCACCTTGTCACTAAATCATGCATTTTTAATTTTGCACTGTATTCTGTGCTATGTTTAATAAAAAAGTTTTTGGAAGTGCAGAATAGAATTAGAACAATTGTTAGCATCATAGTGCTCTTTCTTCTTCAAGAAGGATAGCATTGGGCTGGAGAGATGGCTCAATGGTTAAGAGCACTGGCTGTTCTTCCAGAGGTTCTGAGTTCAATTCCCAGCAACCACATGGTGGCTCACAACCATCTGTAATGGGATCTGATCCCTTCTTCTAGGTATGTTAAAACAGATCACTCACATATAAAAATAAATAAATATTAAAAAAGAAGGATAGCATTTATACAGTTTGTCAAACAATTTCCTTAAAGGCCAGGGCTCCTTGAAAAAAAGGATGATTCCTAATAAGAATTCACTACAATTGCTTCCATCAAATAGAAAAGCACTGCCGTGGCATGAGTGATGAGATTACCTTTTTCTAAATGGGAGGATGAGACATATCTCTAAGAGAATACTTGTAAAGAGAAGCATATGTCCCAACATAATTGACCCTCCGGATGAGCACTGCCTACATTAACTGGTGGCCTAGGGAATACCAGCTGCTTATAGCCTGAAAGATAATGAGAAAAAGACATGATGAATATGCCTTAAGCATATTACCCACAATGCCCTTGGTTAGTGTCGTGGCACAAGAGTTGCCTCAACCTCATTGGCAAACTTCTGCTTCATGCACTTTCAAAATTTGCAGACCTTTCCAAACCCCCAATAATGCATTTCTTCTGTTGCCTCCTGCCTCCTGAATGTCTACAACCAAGAGAACCACCCTTATCCGTTTGTATTCTTCTACTACCTGAAGACAAATAAATGTACCAACAATTTTCTTTCTTCCCACATCTGGTGCTGTTACAGTTGCATTACATTATTAAAAGCTGTACTAATTTTAATTAAATGAAAGCGTCTATTATAACTAACATTTTATCGACTCATTAAGATTCAAGAACAATGAAAAAGGAAGCTATTTAATCTATGCGAACTAAGTTTAATGCACTGAAAACTATTTAGTAAAGTTGGATGCTAAAAAAAAAAGTTTCTTTCAATTTAATAATGATTAAGAAAACCAAAATTTCCAAAGAGAAATTCTGGCCATAAAATTCTGAAATAATATTGCAAGAAGGAGATTTGCTTAGAGCCTCACTCTTCATTTATTATGAAGCCCAGATTGGCTTCTGTACAACACATAAGTTCTGCTCATGAAAGACAAAATGAGATCAAATTTCTGAACATTTATGTAACCTATGCTAATAATTTATTTTTAGATGGACCTTTGATGAGAAAATAAGTTTAAATAAATATGCAGTTATATTTATTAGATTATTTTAAGATTCTGTCTTTGTTTTGATTTTTAATTTAATAAATAACTTATAGATCTGCTCCCCTTATCACATACCTTTTGTTAGCAACCAATATTGCCCGCCCTTTGAAATCAATAGTTACAGAAAAGAATATGTGAATAGACATGAGCATTATAGATACTTAGTGTAGAATTTTATTTTTGTTCCAATTCTTCTGGTTGTTTAGGTGTTTGTCTTTGATAAATTTGTTGTTCACCTGACTGATGCCAGAAACATATACAGCTTACATGAACAATGATGACTCAAGAAATTAACTTTGATTTGAAGACTTCTCAAACTTAATTAACTCTATGAAACACAGTGGTCTGGTTGCTTTTTTCAGTGTCAAGTTAACACAAGTTAGAGTCATCAGAGAGGAAGGTGTCTCAGTTGAGAAAATCGCTCCATGAGATCCAGCCGTAAGACATTTTCTCAATTAGTAATCGATGGAGGAGGACCCAGTTTATGGTGGGCAGTGCCATCCCTGGACAGGTGTCATGAGCAAGCCATGAGAAGCAAGCCAGTAAGCAGCACCACTCTATGGTCTCTGCATCAGCTCCTGACTCCAGATTCTAGCCCTGCTTGAGTTCCTATCCTGACTTTCTCCAGTGATGAACTATGGTCTGAAAGTGTAAGCCAAATAAACCCTTTTCTACCCAACTTGCTTTTTGGTCATGGTGTTTCATCACAGGAATAAAAACCCTGACTATACATATGGTTTCAGAATTACTCAATATTAGTGGCTAGAGAGACTGTTCAGCAGTCAAAACACTTGCTCTTCTTCCAGCGCTCCCCAGCTCAGTTCGTAGCACCTGCCACACCAAACTCCTCCTTACCTCTTGTCAGATGACATCAACATTCAGCTAGCCATATCTTGTCCTCTGTCTTAGCTCTGATCATATTTGATTTTATTATTACCATAATTCATAGGCTCCTATTTTTGGAACCTTGGTCCCCAGTTACTGGAACTGTTTGGGTAGGATTACAAGGTATGGCCTTACTGGAAGAGGTGTGTCCCTAGGGTGGGTTTGGAGTTTCAAAAGCCCATGCTAGACCCAGTGTCTCTTCCTGCAATTTGTGGATCAGATGTGAGTCCTCATCTCCTGTTCTAGCACCATGTCTGCCTTCCTACCCCCATGCTCCTCACTATGAAGATCATGGACAAAACCTTTGAAACTGTAAGCAAGCTCCAATTGAGTACTTTCTCTTATAAGTTGCCTTGGTCATGGAGTCCCCTCACAGCAGTAGAACAGTGACTAGGACAGAGGTGATATCTTAAAACCATTGATAAGGGAGTCTATAGATATACATAAGCAGATAATAACTTCACAAAAATGTATTTTCATCTCCTCTACCAATTGTTTTGTTTCATTAAGTCACACATTATGCAGCTATTCTCCCCAGCTCAAGAGGACCATGAGTAGCCCTAACATTATGAGGGGCTTTCCATGACACTGACACAAATAAGATGCTTAAAAATAAATTCTTTTTTAAAATTAAACATAACATAACCTGAAATGTCATTCAGCAAGGTGTGTGTCTGTGTTTGTGTTTGTGTGTGTGTGTGTGTGTGTGTGTGTGTGTGTGTGTGTGTGCGCGCGCGCGCGCGCGCATTCATATATGTAGGTGTGGGCGCATGAATGCCATGGCATGTGTGAGATGATCAGAGAACAACCTCCTTATCTACCCTCATCATCCACCTTGTTTGAGGCAGAGTTTCTTGTGCATAAGCCTGCTAGCTGGACTGAAAGAGTCTACGGACTCTCTTGCCTCTGCTTCAGATCTCACTCTAGTGACACAGGGATTCTAGATGAGCAAATACTACTGTGTCTGGCAGTATGTGGGTTTGGGGCATTCAAACTCTGGTCCTCATGTGACACGGCAAGTACTTTATCTGCTGGACCTTCTGCCCAACTATTCTGGCAGTTTTTATACTACGCTCCAAAATTCTATCTGATAACACTGACAATGTATAACTAAAATCACCTGCTCTGACCCCACTAAACAGCCTAAAAACATTATGGCCTAAGCATACGTAATGCACTATTGCCCGCTGTTGAAAGCTATATGCTTCAGCTCTAATAAATAACCCTAAATAAAGGGTGACACTACAACAGACCTTAAGTTATGTTTTCTTTCCGTGCAAAATCAGACACATTTGAGAAACCAGACTTTGGATATGTTGCAATGATGTTGACTTCTCCATAATTTCCACTAAAACCCAGCATTAGCACAGGGCTTGGCCCATGGTAGCTGTTGAACAAATAAGTGCGTATGCAATAAAACAACAAAAACTACTACAGCCCAAATTTAAAACAAGGGTATTTAATATACAAACTTTATTGTTTAATCCAAAAACATGACTTTCTTTTACAAAAAAAAAATTAGAAATCAAATTTTAGCCTTTGTTTAATAAAATGAGGCTCTCTCTGGGCAGAAGCTGCAGTCAGCAGGCGCAGTTCTTACAGCGCTGAAGACCGTTCTCATTGCAAGCTGTACACTTCAGGGCTTTGAAAGCGTCTGTAAAGCAATTTCGAAACACTGACATCTTGCTCCCGTGGCACACAGAGCATGGAAGGAAGCCAAAGCCTCCACAGGACGGACACTCGTGTGGATGCTGCACTCTCTGCACAGGGAGGCAAGAAACAGGGGAGAACAGAAAGTGTGTGAGCACCAACAACGCAATCAAGACCACAAAATGCTGTAAAACAACACTGGTGTAAGGGAACTGTGGCTGTGCATTTGAGAGTATCTGCCATTAATATCCATGGGAGCTAAGGGAAGGACACCTGCCAGACTCCTTCACCGCCCTCCCTGATGGCCATCCACAACACAGGCTTGCTTCATAAAGTATGGTGAATTTTAGGCTGTGCTGGATGGCATACACTTTCAAGAATTTCATCATACGAAAACATTTTTGCCAACCAAATATAACAAGAGGCAACTCTTTTCATGAGAAGAAAATGCTTTAGCTTTCCCTTTTGCATCTCTTAACACTTTTCTGTCTTGCAAAACAGTAAATTCTTCAAAGAAATTGAAAAATCAGAAAATGATGAGCTAAACTTTGAAAGAGCCACTATCAACTGACAATTCATCATTACGCTGCAAATTTGAATAATTCTTTAATCTTTCAAAGCATTTTCCACTGTATCGTTATGTAATATTTCCTCCCTCCACACATATAGGCATAATCTTCAGTAGAGACACAATTCAAACATCATTATCCTCATTTGATACTTAAGAAAACAGACACAAATATCTTGAGACATTTATGCATGTCATAAACCTTTCTTAATAGCTATCAGCCTTTCTACCTGAAGCAAAGATAAAGTATCTCAAACACAGAATGAATACAACAAGGCTCTGTGTTGAAGAAAATGTTTTATAAAATATTCACATTCTTTTAAGTTTGCCTCTTTGAACATGTATCTCAGAATTCACTGTTGGAACTCACCGCACCAGGGGTGATTAGAAACCATTATAGAACAAACACAAACAAAATTGTGTTAAGTTCCTGACTTGCAATAAAGGAATTGCCAGCAATGTTTGGAAACCTGGTTTTGTGCAAGCTTAGGAAATGTGGGCAAAACAAGCACACACACACATAAAATGACAAACTCAGACAACCATATTTAACCCACGTACATACATACAGTTTTGCAATGGAAAGTCAAAATTGTCCATTAAAATCTCCAAAAAACCAATTGAAAAGAAACCAGAACTAACTGGGTTTACGCCCCCCCTCCCAAACACACACACAATTCCTACTATATACAACTAAAAGAATCCAGAAAACAAGTAAATAAATGTAATCTTCTCCTCAGTAATTTCCAGAATGTAATTTGGAAAGTAAACATTAGAATATGATCTACTGCATGTACACATACGCACATCTCTTTTCATGTATGTCTTTTCTCCAAGATCCATTTATTATTATACTTTGGTTTACCTGTCATAGTAAGAAACCATTCAATGTCTCATTTTTAACAGCACAGAATTATTTTGATAAAATGTAGGTATTGTTGATCTGGATGACACCAGCTGGAAACTGGAAATGCCATAGATGATTGAAGAGATTCAAAGATTTCCCAAACAGATAGATTGAATGCAAGTGGTAATTTGATGATTTTTGTAATTGTTCTTTGCAAGAAATGGTCCCTACAAAGAAAGGTAAGCTGTACATAACTGTACATAGCTGTACATAAACATTACATTTCTGTAATGTTAAAATGTCTTTGTAAATATTTGGAAGGAAAGAATATACTTTAAAGGGCTAAATATTGGAGAATTAGCAAGAATTGTTATTAAGTTTTAGAAATGAAATAATCATGTCAATGACATCGCTGAAATTATAAAAGAAGGGTACATTTTAAAATACCAAGCTACAGCCAGGCACCACGATTCATGCCTGTAATCCCAGCATTCAGTGAGATAGAGGCAGGCAGATCACTGTAAGTTCAAGGCCAACCCGGTCTACAAAGTGAGTCCAGGACAACCAAGGCTATACAGAAAAATCCTGTCTGAAAAAGCCAAAAAAAAAACAAACAAACAAACAAAAAAAAAAAAAAAACAATCTGGGCTTTTTGGTATATACCTGTAAACACAAAACTTCAGAAGTAGAGGGGATGGATAGATAGATGATAGATAGATAGATAGATAGATAGATAGATAGATAGATAGATAGATAGATAGATAGA